CTTAATATGAAACACAACATTAAACATAAAAGTTAAAAGTATAAGTCTTTTAGAGGAAACATAGGAAAATAACTTTGTGATCTGGAAATAGGCAAAGATTTCTTAAATAGCTCACAGAAAGCAATAACCACAAAAGAAAAAAACTGATAAATTAGACTTCGCTAGTATTAACAACTTCTGCTCATCAAAAGATCATTCATACAACATATACATATATCAAATCATCACATTGTATACTTTAAGTATCTTACAATTTTGTCAATTATACCTTGATAAAGCTGAAGAAAAAGATAATTAAGAAAATGAATAGGCAAGCCACTGTCTGAAAGAAAATACTCACAAAACATATATGACAAGGGACTTGATCCATAATGTCTGACAAACTCCTACCAAAAATAAATAAATAAAAAGATAAATAGCTCAATTTTTAAAAGTAGGCAAAAGGCTTGAACAGATACTTCACAAAGGAATATGTAAAAATGGTGAATAAACACATGAAAAGATGCTCCACATCATTAATCATTAGGGGAATGCAAATTAAAACCATAATAAGATACCACTATACATACACTACAATAACTAAAACTAAAAAGACTGGCAACACCAAATGCTGGCAAGGATATGGAGAAATGGAGATTTCATCCATTGATGACGGGAGTATAGAATGGAACAACCACTCAACAGCAACCCTATGACTAGCAATTTCATTCACAAGTATAAAACAAATGAAAACACATGTCCACATATACTTGAGTTCAAGAATGTTCATAGTCGACTTAACAGCAGCTTAAATTCGGAAACAGTCTAAAGCATAAGGAAAAATGAATAAACAAACTGTGGAATATGTATACAATGGACTGCTACTCAATAACAAAAAGGAACAAACTACAGATAACAACAAGATGGATGAATTTCAAAGACATTCTGCAGAGCAAAAGAAGCTAGACTCAAGAGAGTGTGTACAATGCAGTTCTATTTACATGAAATTCTTGAACAGGTATATCTAATCTAGGTTAATAAAAAATAGAATATTAGTTTCCAGGAAGGTAAAGAGAGCAGACTGGACAGAGACACAAAGGAACTTCCTGGGGCAAGATAAGAGTGTGGTTTACACACACGTACGCTCCTGTCCAAATTATACAGTTTAAATTTCTGCATTTCAATTTATGTAAATTTTAGAGGAAAAGAAACTTATACAAAAATAAGTGGTAGGTAGAGAACGGAACAAGTTATAGATAATAAAAGATGACAAAATGTTGGTAATTGTGAATCTGGGTGATGGTCATATGGAATTTATTATATCATTCTGTTTACTTGAAATATGCTTGAAATTTCCATAATAGAAAAGTGAAAAACAAAAAAGACATACAAACTACAAAATGAATGTTATAAATTATCTAATTTATCAGAAACATAATTACTCTGTCAAACTGCTATAAAAGTTTCTAATCATTTACTCTCAATTTCTCTAAACAATTTGTCACAGTCCAGTTCAAACTATGCCTAGCAGCTGTTCCCAGCCACACTCCGTAGACTGTCCTAATCTCTCTTTGCCTCATTTTTTTCTTCACCAAGTATTAATAATAGTAGTAGTGTAACAACATTTACCTCTTAGAGGTTTTATGGGGATTAAATAATAAAATATATGTAGAGTGCTTTGAACAGTGTCTAGCATAGAAGTGCTCAATGAGCCTTAGCAATTATCCTCACTAATACAACCTGCTACAGTTTGTTTTTTTTAATTTCTAGGATCTACTTGGTCGCCAGTAATTTTATGCTTTTCTGAGTTACTTACATCCCTTAAACTTTGATCTTATTACTCAAAAAAATCTTTCTGCTTATATCTTTGCTTAAGTCAAAAATAAAAATGAAAAAGAAGAATCACCTGCTGCACTGACGAAGAAACTTAGGTTCACAGCAGAGAACACAATGTAATATATAAATGCCTTACTATTAAATTATGTACCTGAAACTTACTGGACTTTGTTAACCAATGTCACCATAATAAAAAAAAAAATTAATTCTGAAAAAAAAAAAAGAAGAAAAAAGAAAAAAATAAATGCAGCAGACTTTTCTCAGGTGGCTGCCCTGGCCCAACCATTCCCTGAAACAAAGGCGTGGCACAAACAGTCACGCCTTTGTTTCACTGGACTCTTCCTGGCCACCATGGTTTGTCCAACCAGGGGCAGATTCCCAATCACAGATGAGTCAATCAGATTCCTTCTCCCAGCACTAGGCTCCGTCCTTGCAGCACTCTGAGAGAGTTCTCAAACCCCGCTGCCTTTCCTCAGTTCCGGGAGTTAGGTTTCTCTAATGATTCTTCTATGCAACTGCACCTCCAATATCCTAATGATAAATTCACCTTTTATCTCTAAACTGGTCGGAGTTAGTTTCCATTACTTAGATGACTGAGAGGTATCACAGCTGAATTCTAGAACACACATCTCTTTGTGTTAAACTCCCTCCACCAGCATCTCTTGAGAGCCTCCTGTTTACAAGGCAATGTATCAGAACTGTGCTATGAGGACCAGCAAGATTTTGACAGGAGGAACATTACAAAGAAAGAGAACAGCAGAAACACAGATATAGAGAACTTAAAGAAATACAATTTTGCTGCAGAATAAGGCACATAAAAGCACACAGCTAATCCCCTATAAGTGTTTGCTGAATTGATAGTAGATATTAGACCAGACAGATAAGCTGAAGACCAATAATATATGGTTTGAAAGCCAAACTAAGGCATTCAGCATTTACCACTAAAGGTTTCTGAGCAGAAGAGAGCTAAAATATGATTTGTGTTTTACAAAGAACACATCTCAGCCAGTCTTCATGAATACTCAGCTTATTTCTGTTTTCAGTATAGTATTTATGTTTCTAACTAGGGGCACATTGTACAGAAAGCAGAAAGTTTTGCTTCAGTGTCAAAATGATACATCCGAATGACTCTCCTAAGAGAGAAACTGAAGATATTTGCAAATACAATATATTAGATAATTTCGTCTTCTGGTCTAGATCTAATCAAATAAAGTTGTCAGTAATATTAATTTAGGGTCAACAATATTTCTGCACTAATGATGACCTGAGGCAGACATGCTATTAGGACCATGTTTTAACTGAGAAAACTGTTAAGCTAAGTACTTTCTTGTACTCCTCTATCTAATGAAGACAAGCCAAGTTCCACCAAATGTGCCTTATAACACGCTCCATAGCATAAGAAAGAGTATTACGCAGGCTTACAGCATGTGTAATCTTATCATGAAGTGTAATTTTAAACAAAGACTCTAAGACCCCAATTTAGAAAAGCTATATAAACACCATTCCCTAAAGTTTAGGGAACTAGTAACCAAAACATAAAAACTGATCTGCTTTCGACTATTCAATTAGTAACTATTTATAAAGCCATCTGAAGTAATGAAACAACAAAAAAAAATGTGTTGGAAAAAAGTCAAGTGAAAAGCAAAATAATTTTATACAAACAAATCAGCTGTCTTTAAACAAAAATTTTCTTTCCTTTCAAATAAAGAAACCCCAAAATTTCAGCTATAAAATTGCTGGTAATTAACATCTATCACAGTAATGGTATGCCATGGAATAGGAAAACTATTTTTTCATACCCATGCTTGTATTGTAACCAGTGAACCACACAACTCTTAACACTTTCAGAAAGTTGACAAGAATCCAGTAACTCTTACAGAACCTCATGAACAGTTTCTGAGATGCCACAAGCACCTGTTTCCAGCGTGTTAAACCGTGGCTTTTACGTGGAAACATGGGCATACAAAAGCACCAATGTCCTGGGTGCGATGACAGGGCAAAGCTCCCTCAGGCACATTCCCCAAGGCTGGGATCAGGGAACTGGGGTTGGGGGAGTGGTGTTATCTCTGCCCTACGGCCGCACACCAACTCTCCCGCCATCCCCTCGCCCGCGCTGCGCCGGGTACTCACAGCTCGGGTCTCATACAGCACCAGCTTCTGGACCGAGCTGATGATAGGGGCGGCGGCCGAGGGCATGGCTCGAGCAAATGGGGGCCCCCACGACAGGGCACCAGGCCGCGGCCCAGGCTGCTTCAGCCTCCAGATTGCCCCCAGAAGACTCAGATAGAAGACACCTCAGACCCCGGGCACCAGGTGCAGCCAGGAAAAACAGCTCTTGGGCCCTAAAGCTAAAGATACAGACAACCCGCTACAGCTCAGGTGTTTCCGGATCCTGACGCCCCACCTACAGGCAAGGCCCGCCCCAGGCGCGGCGGGGCGGGGCTGGAGGATATACCATAGAGAGGTAATGTAGAGGTTCCCAGAACCTGCGTGCTGCCGAGGGAGGAAGTGGAGGGCGCCATTTTTGATGCGGGCAGAAGAAAAAAGGCGGAGGAAAGGTTGTGGGTTAGTTGAACCTCTGGTCTATCTGGTCCTTGTCTTTAAAAAAAGGAAAGATTTCGGATTGGGTTGTTTCTTTTGAAGTGTTTCTCCGAGTTGCAGACAGATCCATTCCCAAGTTGGTCTGTTTTGTTCCCTATTTCTGCCTTTATTTTCCTGGAAACCTGTGTGATGGTTCTTCACTGAGTGTTTTTCCCTTCTCGTCTATTTTACCCTCATGAGAGTCAACAAAATCCGTATCGTCCAGAGGGTGTGTGGTTCAAGGAATTTATTTTTTTAATAAAGTTGGAAAATTTGGACTTTGCGACGTGTTCGTGCCTGAGGATAACCATTGGTAAATTCTACAAATAAACTGTCGAGAGTAGTGTACCGCTGGCTTTGGAATAAGGCAGTTCAGCGTTAAAATAAGGTTTCTTCCATTTCATGTGTGTGAACATAAATGGGCAATGCATTTACCCTTTCTGATTATCGCGTTCCACATTTGTGAAAAGCAATGTATTATAATTCTGAATACAAAATTAGGTGTAAAAGTGAATATTTAAGAAATTAAATCAATAAATTACAGTCCCACTCCATTCCACCAAGGCCCCGCCTCTTCCCCAGAGGCCCTGCGCGCAGTACTGCCTGGGGTTCCCTCAGCAACCGCCCAACAGACCCAAGAGTCCAGGGAGGTGGCTGTGGCTGTCCAGTGGGGTCCGCTGGGGTTTCCTGCGGCCAGGTAAGGGTCGTAGTTCTCTGCTCGGGTGCATTTTAGGTTATACTGAATGGAATCTCACTTCTTGTGGGAACCCCAGACCAGTTCCTTTTCTTGCTAAACTAAAATTGGAGATCTCCTTAAATTCCGCTTTTTAAAACCACTTCCTCTTTCAATAACTAATGTTTTCATTCCACAACTATTTATTGAGCACCTGCTATGAGAATATAAGATGTACTGGAGTGGCAGCCTAGCTAGCCTAGGCAGAGTGCTAGGTTTCCCAGGAGTTGGGCCCCCAGTAAACCGCAGAATCCACTGCTAGAGGGTTTTTCAACTGCTAAAAATGTAAGAAAACTTTAAAAATTTGTATTGAATTGTAGTATAACCACCTAACAATGTGATATTTGAAATTATATAACTGTGATTTTAGAGATAATATTGTAAATTCACAATTGATAAATTATAAAACTTTTTAAATAAGTATTTAATTATTTTAAATTTTCTTTCGGTTCGGCATAGAGTTCTCTTTAAAATGCAGTCACCTTAGGCTTTTTTTTTTTTTTTTATTAAGAACTAGAAAGGTGACCATGTCAGTTCTGCCTTTTTGCATTGACTTGGATCTTTTAACAGGGAAAAATATTTAGTTCTGTTCCATTTCATAATGGAAACCAACTCTTCTGAACATGAGTTAAATATTTGCAGAATGCTTTTATTTAGGAATAAACCTCTTAAAGTAACGGTAGAGTTCTGGTTTACCAATATTTAGTTTTCAATTATTATATTACACTGTAATTAAATATTTCCACTTAATTAAACAATTCCATGTGAACCCAGAAGCAGATCTTGAGACAAAAATTTGAGGACAATAGTTTATATGGGGAATAATCCAGCAAACAACAGCAGGGAAGGGAGAGAAGCTAATAAAGGGAATATTATCAAGCAAATTTCTCTGTGGGCTGAATTCTCTGGGGATTACTTGAATATATGTCTCAGTTATTCCCTCTTAAGAGGAAAGAGAGCTGGGGTATTTATTCACCAAGTCCCATCAGTTATTGGCTGAGGTCTGCTATGGCAGAACATTACTTCCTTGGAACTTCCAGTCTGCCCTGTGCTCAGACTGAATAGGCGGGACAGACCAAACAGCCCTTAGGCAAAGAGTCACACTGCCAGTAGTTGGGAGATGGGCTGGCCATGCATGGAAAAGGTGCATGTCAAGTAGATATGGGCAGAGCACTAATAACACGTTCTAACCTTTGCACCACTCATATCCACTTCTCCCCCATTCATAAGTTCACAGTATCCATTACTGATTCTTCAAGGTGGTGTCTGGTCCCCATTTCTAAAAGAAAAGGACTCACAAGAGATTAGTAAGGCAAGCTACAGAATCTACTATACAATTAATCCAAGCTACAGACTCCACCTGCACTCTTAGGTCTGTAACTGACAATTCATTACTTCTCTCTTCTACCACCTATTCTAAATTTCCCTTACCCTGGCCAACCCATCTAAGCTGTTTTCCCCGTACAGTAACCTGCCTTCACCCCTGAGCAGTTTAGCCTCTGGTTACTGTGTCCTTACCAGGTTGTAGTTGCTACAGTTATCCATTCACTGGGCATGAAAGCATCAAGAGGAGTCTCAGAGGATTCCTGAGTTCAAGACATACATCTCCCTGCCCCAATTATGTAGCAGCAATCCTACCTCCATCTGCAATAACTCTTTAGAGGCATATGAAGCCAAACATGACCAGGTGGCAGCAACAGTTTTAGGTTTAGTGAAACCTAACTTAAGTGGGTCCCCTAGAGTATGTTTGCTATACCATTCCATAGGTCCATTTACATGCTTCTTCCTTAAAACTCTTTTCTCTTCCAATCTTGCTTGACCAAGAGAATTAGTATCTGTTCCAGGTGTTCTAGCCAGGATGTTAAAGCATGAGTCATTGGTGAGAGCTCACATATCAATAAACTTTTATCAAGTCAACATTCCCCAACTCAGCACCCTCAAGGTCTTCTCCCAGGCAAGTTATAAAGTTTCCTATTGGTACATCATAGCCAAGCCCTTCTTTCAGCCCTTCTTTCAATAATTTTCTTCTTGAACCAGTGCCTCCCCAATTGGGCTGTGCTGTCACTTGACCCAGTTATTGCCTTAAAAGCTATGAGGGAAGGTAAAGGCAGATCCTGTGGAGGACAAGCACTGTCTTGTGAGGTATCTGCCTTAGGCCATGTAGGAAGAGGCAGCTATCTGCCAGAAATGAGGGAGCTACCTCTGTTATGCAGAGCATTCAGGGTAAACTGGGGTTTAAGGCACTGGGACATCCTAGATAGCCCCATCCCAGACCTTAGAGTCCCAGTTTTAATTTGTAATAGAGACTTTTTAATAAATGCACCATCTCTCTAAAAGATTTCACTCCTTAGAACTACATTCGATAGTAATATTACTTATCTTTTGGTATTTAAAAAAACAAAATTCAGCCCTTCAGTTGTTGAAGACTTCATCTCAAATATTTTTAATATACTAGTAATATTTCTTACTGTGTACTGTTTCATAGTGACGTTTGGAAATGCTTAACTTCCACAGAGAAGTATAATCACATCCCATTTACCTGGAAGCATATAGCCCCCTCAATCTGTTTTTTATTGTTCCATGAACAGTGTTGCAGACCACTAGGACATAGTTTTCTTCCATTTTTGAAGTTTGCTTATTAAAGTCTTTTCATAAGGTTTTATAATTTTTCCATAAAGGGCTTATATATCTTTCATTACATTTAATCCTAATTTATATTTTCGCTACTAAGATAAGTCATATTTATCTTTTGTTACATTTTCTAGTTATTTTTGGTGTATAGAGATGCAATAGAATTTTGTATAATGATTTTGAATCCAGCAAATTGGATTATCTCATTAATTTTTAAAATTTATCTGTGAGTTTTCTATGTAATAATTGTATCAACTGGGAATTATTACAGTTTTCTTTTGTTATGACCTTAAAAAGAACATTTTCAGTATTTAACCATTAAATATAATATTTGTCTTTTGTTCATACCATTTACAAGTTAAAGAAGTTCCTTTCTAGTCTTAAGAAGTTTGTCTTTTATTAATCAATAAAATGTGTGGAATTGTTTCTTATACTTTTTCTATCAAGATGTTCATATAGTTTTTCTCCATTAATTTATTTTAATATAAATTAATTTTCTCATATTAAACCAACCTTGAAATCCTGAAGAAGACCCAACTTGGCCATTGATGTTGTTAACTTTTCTATGTATTTCTGGTTTCAATTTACTATTATTTTGATTAAGATTTTGAAAATCTTGTTCATGAATGAAATTGGCACATAATTTGCTTTTTCACACTATTGTCTGGTTTAGGTATGAAGGTTATATGGAACCCATAAATTTATGTAAGAAGTCTACACTTTTTTTCTCTTAAAGAGTGTTTCTAAGATTGTAAGACATGGAGGTTGTCAATAAAACCATCTGATTTCTTCGTGGGAAGATTTTTAGTTACTGACTCAGTTTCCTTAATGGTTATAGAACCCCTCAGGTTTTCTTTTTTTCCTTGAGAAACTGATTTTTCTAGAAATTTACCAATTTTGTTTTAAGTTTTCAAATTTGTTTTGGATAACTTAGTTTATGATATCTGCTTATCATCTATAGCTGCAGCATTATTATCTTTATAGTCCTTTCTCTTTTCTATATCTAATATGATTTGATTAAGTAGGCAAAAAGTCAGTAAGTGTTATGGAAGATTTAACCAATAAAATTCATAAACTTGATATAAACAACATTTAAAGAACATGGTATCAAACAAATGTAAATTGCATATCCTTTTCAAGAATACAAGGGATTTTTTGAAAATTACCATGTGCTCAGCTGTATGACAAACTTCAACAAATTTCAAAGAATTAATATAACATAGAGAATTAATTAACATAATTCTCTTGATTATAATACAAGTTAGAAATAAACAACAAAAACATTGAAAAATCTTAGTTTCAAGATGCAAGAAAATACAATTCTAAAAAACCTAATGTGCAATATTGCTTATTTGTATCTTCTGTCTTCTTGATCAATCTTGACAGAAGTTTTCTTTTTATATGTTGTTTCAAATTCCACTATTAAGCTTTGTTGACCCTCTATATAATGTTTGTTTTCTATTAATTTTTAGTATATATTTTTAAATTTTTTCTGATTTCCTTTTTCCAACTTCTTAAGTTGTGAGCTTATCTCATTGCTTTTCAGACTCTTTCTTTGGTTCTAATTTAAGTATTTAAGGCTTTTAAATACTACTTTAGCTATACCTTATAAGTGTTGGTATATATTATGCTCATTATTTTTCAGTTCTACATTGATTTTCTAATTTCCATTAGGATTTATTTTAGAGCCAGTAATAGTCCCTACACCCATACACATACACAAATAAATATGGATGTATATGTATGTATAACATGTTTAATTTGATCTTTAATAAAATACAGACATCATACCATATGTATGTATTCATATATGTGTTTTTTCCCTTAATTTAGTCTTTCAGGAACACTTTGTTTTAGCTGTCTTTTTTATAGCTGGATTATTGCTTTTTATATCAAACCAAGAGCCTATTATTATTTTAATAGAGGAGTTTAACTTATTTGCAATTATTGGCAAAAATCCATGTGTTTAGTGATGTGAAATAGCTTCTGGACTAAGTAAATTCACAGGACATTCCAGTTCTCCCTAGCCTACCTACCTGCTCCAACTAAATTAGGTGCTTTTAACAGTCTTACTCTTCCTTATTGCAGTATTTTGTATTATGACTTCTCAAGAGAAGATAGAAGAGCATCCTTTTGTGGATATATTTAATGAAGATGAAACTGAAAAAGACTTTATGTTGTCTAAACCTGTTTGCTTTATTGTATTTGGGAAACCAGTAAGTTACCCCTTCTAACTTATTTAGTATAATTTTTTATTCTTAAAATTATAATCTTCTGTTACCATACAAGAATGAAAACCATATAGTGTGCTAAATTTTTTGAGTTTGTTAGACTTCCATTGTATAACTTAAAATCTGATATAATGCTGGTTGTAAATTTATAACTTTCTCTCTTCTTGTATACTATAAATGAAAAGGAACCCATATTGTATTTATCTTTGGCTTTATATTACAAAAAATTAACCTATCAAAGCACTGTACCATGACAAAAAATATGTGATCCAAGGTTACTGCAGACTCAATTTGCATATAAAACTTTCTGTGGAATTTGTTGCGAGGTTCTCTGGATATGTGAAGGTAGGACACTATAGAAACAAATGGGAGGTTCTCCTATTAATATCTGAAGCTACTTAGAGGCAAGGTGCCTCACCTTTCCCCACAAAGTGTCAGTGGACCTATAGATTATCTTTCCACAAAACAGAGAAGAGACTAAAAATGGTCGTTGTAAGATAGCTTGCCTTTCTAGGCAGTTCTAATAAGGACCTCTACATAAGAGCTATTTTCAGCCGTAGAGCTAGTTGGTAGCCAACATTAGAGGGCCTGAGTTGGTTAATTAAAGAGCCTCTTTAGAACTGCAGAGGCTAGGGGCCAGACTTAATTTTATATGGACCCTCGGACAGATACCAAGAATTGGTTCCAATAACTTTCATTACGTTTGTAAAAACATAATAGAATTTTAAAAATCAATGGTAAAAGCAATCATTTAAATGTCATTACAGTGATATCTTTAAAATATGGTACTCTTCAAAGATGCCCATTAAGAAGGAATTTTTTGTTCTTGGAAGTTAATGGAACTATGTCGAACATTCATGATTGTAAACTTTAGAAAGGAAATAAAATGATGAACCTAAATACATGATTTGTATTTAAAAATACAAAATTTGACAATTAAAAGTGTATAATACCATTTCGGTACAGCTTCCTGGTTTCAAGCCTATTTTCTTAATTAAAAAAAATGATTTAAATCACTTCATAAAGTGGCAAATGTGAAAATTAGTAGAGAAAAATGAAGCTATAAATATCTAGGGTCTACTTTTCATTTATTTTGTGAGGAAAAAAATATTTACTTGATAATATAGTAACCATCAACAGAATCTTTAAAAAATGAGAATATCTTTTTCACTGGCTGTTTTATTGGGTTTTAATAACATCTTTCTTTTTAAGGGAGTGGGGAAGTCAACATTAGCCTATCAGATAGCTCAAGCATGGAAATGTATTCGCGTAGAAGGTAAATTTTACACTTTCAGATATGCTTAAAATGTAAAGAATTACACAATAAACACTCATATAGCCATGTACTCACCATCTAGTTTCTGTAATTAACATTTTGCTGTATTTGCTTTATCACACATCACTGTCAACCCAGTGAATATTATTTTTGTAGTAGCATCAAACATATTTAGCCCTTGTCTCAGTCCTAGTTTTGTTCCTAGAATTTAGGAGGGTTTATGAAGCGTCTTTGACTCCATTCTACTGCTTCCAGTTTTCTGATTTCATAATTTAGAAATATCAACTACTAATTTGTACTTCTTTAACTCTTCACCCCATTCTCTCAGCCGCCCAACTCCGCTCCCCTCTGTCCATCACCAAATTGTCCACTATATTTGTGAGTCTGTTTTTGATTAGTTTGTTCTTTTGTTCCTTAGATTCTGCATATAAGTGAAATCTTACGGTATTTATCTTTCTCTGTCTGACTTATTTCATTCAGCATAATAACCTCTAGGTCCATCCATGTCATTGCAAATGGTAGGATTTCATTTTTATAATGGCTAAGTAATATTCCATTGTATATATGAACCATAACTTCTTTATCCAATCGTCTGTTGATGGACATTTAGGTTGCTTCCATAACTTGGCTATTGTAAATTGTGCTTCCATGAACATAGAGGTGCATAGATCTTTACAAATTATTGTTTGGATTTTCTTTGGATCGATACCCAGAAGTGCAATTGCTAAGTTAAAGGTATATCTATTTTTAATTTTTTGAGAAATCTCTAGACTGTTCTCCATCAACAATGTATGAAGGTTCCCTTCTATCTGCATCCTAGCCAACACTTGTTCTTTGATTTATTGATGATAGCCATTCTGACAGATGTAAGGTGATATCTCATTGTGGTTTTAATTTGCATTTCTCTGATGATTAGCGACCTTGAGCATCTTTTCCTATGTCTTTTGGTCATTTGTATTTCTTCTTTGGAGAATTATCTGCTCAGGTCTTCTGCCTACTTTTTAATTGGATTGTTTGTTTGTTTTTGTTGTTGTTAGTTGTATGAGTTCTTTATATTTTTTTGATATTAACCTCTTATCAGATGTATCATTAGTGAATATCTTCCAATCAGTTGGTTGTGTTTTTGTTTTGTTGATGATTTCCTATGCTGTACAAAAACTTTTTAGTTTGATGTAGTCCCATTTGTTTATTTTTTCTTTTGTTTCCCTTGCCAGAGGAGATATATGCTAAAAGAAATTATTGTTAGCAATATCAGAGATTTTATTGCCTATGTTTACTTTTGGAAGTTTCATGGTTTTGGGTCTTACATTTAAGCCTTTCATCCATTTTGAGTCTATTCTTATATACGGTGTAAGAAGATGGTCCAGTTTCTTTATTTTTTACATGTATCTCCAATTTTCTCAACACT